ATACTAAAGTTGATAAACGAAGATCGAATCCATTTGTTAGTAGACTTGTTTAACAAGATTTATGAAAACAGTATAATTCCTGAAGAATGGTTAAGATCATCCTTTGTCCCTCTTCCCAAGAACACACATACTAAGCAGTGCGGTAATCACCGCACGATCAGTCTGATGAGCCATACCTTAAAAATATTCCTCAGAATAAATCACAATAGAATTTACAGAAAATTGGAAGAAGATACCGGAGAAACTCACTTTTAATTCCGGGAGGGATATGGAACTCGCGAAGCATTATTTGCCTTTAACATCTTGATACAGAGGTGTTTGGATGTGAATCACGATGTATTTGCTTGTTTCATTGATTATAACAAGGCGTTTGATAACGTCAAGCATGACCAACTTTTAAAGATCTTGAAAGCTAAACAGTTAGACACTCGCGATATAAGAATAATATCTAATCTGTATTATAAGCAGAAGGCAGTCGCACGCAAAGAAAATAGCACAACAAATGAAATTCAAATTAAAAAAGGAGTTAGACAAGGATGTGTGCTGTCATCAATGCTATTTAATCTCTATTCGGAAGAAATTATGAAGAAAGCATTGGAGGAAGAAGAGATTGGGATAAAAGTTAACGGCCAACCAATTAATAATATTAGATACGCAGATGATACGGTTTTAATGGCGGAGACAGTAGAAGACCTGCAAGCCATTTTAAACATGGTAGTCACAGCTAGTGAAGAGAAAGAGTTAACAATGAATGTCAAGAAGACGAAATTCATGATCAATTCAAAAAAACAAAGATTGAATGCAAACCTGTACATTCACAATAACGAAATCGAACGGGTGCACAAATATAAATATTTGGGAACAAGTGTTAATAACAACAATGACATCACAGAAGAAATAAAAACTAGAATTGGAAAGGCTCGAGCTGCTTTTGTTAATATGAAGGACGTTCTGGGAAGTCATGACATTAACTTAAACCTGAAAATGAGATTGCTTAGATGCTACATCTTTTTGGAGTCTGTTTGGAGTAGAGATTTGGACTTTAAACAAGAGCAATACCGGTAAACTAGAGGCCTTCGAAACATGGATATATAAAAGAATTTTGAAAATACCTTGGACAGACAAAATAACATTATTGTAGTTCTTCGAAGAATGAACAAAGAACGGGAGCTGTTGATCACCATCAAGAGAAGAAAGTTGGAATATCTTGGTCATGTGATGAGAGGGAAAAAGTATCGATTGCTCCAGTTGATTATCCAAGGAAAGATTCAGGGCAAACGATGCGTGGGGAGACGACATATATCTTGGCTGCGCAATTTAAGAGACTGGTTCCAGTGCACATCTAACCAATTATTTAAAGCAACAGCTTCAAAGATACGACTAGCAATGATGATTGCCAAACTCCGTAGCGGAGAGGGCACTTGAAGAAGAAGATGTCAACGGGAAGCCACTTCCAATTAATTTTCTCCAAGATCACAATGGAAACACAGAAACAATTAGTAATAGCCCTTAGACTCAGGCACCTTGGAATACTCCGATCTTCCAATGACGTCTAGTCTGTTTTGCCACTTAAGGACTATTAATTTAGCAATTATGTTCACAAAAAAACTGTAAACTCTGGCTTTATAGCACAAAATGAAAAGGCTAAAATTAAATAAATTAATAAAAATTAATATCACAGATGATCATAACCCAGATGTGAAAACTAAGCTATTACAGTGGGTGGTCAAATTATTAGGAACACTACATATATTTTTGTATTTTCTACTTTAACCCTCCATCACTCGCACCTCAAAAAATTACGCCATCACTTGCGTGTTACAGTTCATCTAACAGAATAATTTCTTTGAAAGGGTTCATGCTGATTTATTGGGTCCACTTAGAGGAAAAATAATATTAATCATTGTAGATTCTTATTCAAAATGACCAGAAGCATTCACAATGAATGTGACTTGAGTCCTTGGCAACAATAAGTAAGTTTAGGGCAGTTAAAGCCTATTTATTTAGTTATTGTAGAGAATTTGGAATGAAATTTAATACAAAGAAGACAAAAACGATGGTCATCAGCAAGCACCAAAACAGAAGGGTGAAGGTCAATGTCGACGGAACAGATCTGGAAAGAGTAACAAGAACAACGTACCTTGGAAGTAATCTTGATAAAACTTGGGACCACTCACTAGAGATAAGAATACGCCTGGAAAAGGCACGTACAATGTTTTACAAAATGCAAAAAGTTCTATGCAACCGCCAGCTGGGCATCTCATTGAGAACTAGAATACTTAAGTGCTATGTTTTCTCCACCTTGTTCTATTATGTTGAAGCCTGGACAATGACAGAAGCAACACAAAAAGAATCCAAGCATTTGAACTCTGGTGTTACCGTAAAATGCTCAGAATATCCTACATGTGCCATACGACAAATGCGGAGGATGAATAAGGAAAGAGAGCTTTATAATAAAAGAACGGAAAACACAATATTTTGGTCACATCATAAGAAATCAAAAGTATGAACTGCTCCAACTTATAACCGAAGGCAAAGTCAATAGCAAAAGAGGACCAGGAAGAAGACGCAACTCTTGGCTTAAAAACCTACGGCAATGGACGAACATGACCTCCATAGAACTATTCAGGGCTGCTACAAATAAGATTAAATGGGCAAATGTAATGACCAACGTCCTTAAGGATAAGGCACCGTAAGAAGAAGAAGAGCCTATTTGTTTTATGCTCCTCGGTCACAACAATATCGTAATCCCAATAAATATTTGATGAGTTGAAATGTCACAAGGAAATTCAATAACGTTCAACTATAATGCATTAAGGAATCACGTGTTACGCAAATAATAAAGAAGGCAAAGTACGTGAGAAGCAAAAATCTGTTTTGGAGTGTAATTTTTCTTCGAGAATCTTCATGATGTATCGACCGGCTGACATATCAAAGCGTTCATATAAGCGAGAATAGAGGTGACAATACATAGGCCGCGCTGATATTTGTTTAGTTAGTTGATAAGATATTATCATACTTTAAGCTTAGAAATAAATATATTTACATAAATTATAACCGCTCTTTGTATTGGTAAAAACGCTACAATATACAGTGATGAGTGCCTTACCACCCGGTTTTTTAACGTAAGAGATGGAAAACACAGTTACCTTGTGAAATAAAAAGAGATGAAACTCGTAGAGGTGGGAAATAATCGATAAAAACCTATAATTTACATTACATTACCACTATTGATAGTCTCACACCTTTAGACGTTAGACTATCGAGCAAAAAGACAAAAGAGGGAATGTAAAGGTAGTGGGGGCAAAAATATTGTTAGACAGGAAGTGCGATCTTTAGAGGCCACATTAAACAAGGAAAGAGAGTCTCTCCTTGTTTGACATCAAATTTAGTTGGGTTATGTTATTGTTTGTTCCAAATGTCACATGAAATCTTATTTATATTGAAGTTTTTTAACAATTGTGTCGCATTTCAGACTATTACCGTTAATAATTAATTAAAACTTTCTTGTCTAAGACACATTCTGAAAAATATTATATAGCTACTGTTAATAAGTGTCGGAAAATTTAAATTTGGCACATTCGCATTTCCGGATATGTCCCCCATCAGAGGCCACTTTTTTTGTCTCCTTTTCATAAGGATTAGATTTCCTCTTTGGTCTTTTTGCTCGATGCGTTAGACGTGGCTATTTGACTTCAGTCATAATTATACGGATAACCTCGAAAATATTTTATTTTAATAATTTCTGATGTTAGAATAAAAAATTGAATAAATTAAGATATATTCTAGTAAAAAACATTAATTAGTAGCGATTTTAAATTATAAATCTTTAAGTTTATTTAATAATAAAAATAACTCAACTGAAATATTTTACTAAAACAAAGGTAGGTATGTTCTGTCCGAAAACAATTAACGTATGTGGAATTGGTGTAATAGTTAGAGACGTGGTTTATTGACAAGAAGATTGGGGTTCAATTCACACCAAGGATAAAATTGTTTTATCAATCAAAAAATAAGATACATATTAGGTAACAAGTTTTTCAAAAACTCATTATTTAGAATTTATTCTTATTCCAATGTTATAAAACGGAAATACAAAATAATTCAATTCCAGTGTTACTGTCTTCAGTTGTGAATGCAAAATAATCCGGTGAAGACTGGTTATGTCAAATACATCACTAAATTCTCAGTGTTAATATCAATTCCTCTGTATAGATAATGATTTTCAAAACAATTGACAATTGTAAATACGTTTATTTACAATATTTTTTTATTTTTGTAGATTTTTTACTTATTTAAACATTCTTAAACGTTCTTTTAATTTTGAAAAATTTTTACTTTATTTTCGAAAGTACGACACTTTTTTCAATAAGATATTTATGTTTAACTTTAAACACATCTAATACTAGTAACGACTGACATAAATGTTCAAAAGCAAAACGATCGCATAATTTCAAATTATTAAAAAAAACACACATGTGGGTTTTGAACTCTAATCGTCTGCATCACAGTGTCGAATTCTTACTACTAATCCACGAAGGATTGATAATTATTTTGTGACAAGAGTGTATGAAACTCCTCAAATCATAGTAGAAATTATTCTTGGTTAATAATTTAAAACTTTAGATTAAATAATCACTATTAATTAAATTATTTTATTCAGATTTTTGCTTTATTGTGGTCAATCAGTTTTTACTTTATGCGAATTTAAAAAATGGAAATACGTCACACATATGACGTCAAACATAATAATTATGACCGAGGTGATTTAGCTCGAAGCTAACGACAAGGTGTGAGACTATCGATAGTGGTAATGTAATGTATATTATAGGTTTCTATCGATTATTTCCCACCTCTACGAGTTTCATCTCTTTTTATTTCACAAGGTAACTGTGTTTTCTATCTCTTACGTTAAAAAGCCGGGTGGTAAGGCACTCATCACTGTATACGATTGATTATATTAAAATAAAATTAACATTAATGTATTATATGTTTTATTATTCATAATTAATTTACAATTCACAATTAATAAAAGAATTACATAGTACAAAATTTCATAATAAAATATATGTGCCCTATATATCTCAGTGCATTCTTTGTAAATTTTTGCAATTGCAATTCTCTTTTACAGTAACAATTGTATACCTATACTTTAATTTTTGTCTTTGCCATAAACCCCAAAGCACTATTGAGGAATGGAATGCATTTTACGTATCATTTAAACTAAAATAAAATGAAATAGAGTATTTTAGATTTCTCTCCCTCAAAAACAACTTGAATGGGCGTCTAATCACAAACCCAAACAAATCTGCAAAATTCCTGGTATAGGAAGATAAAGATTTTGCATCTACATGTGATCTGGTCCAACTTAATAGGTAAATCATATGAATCATAAAAATTAAATATAGTTACCCTACAATGATTTGGAGGTATATCAGGGTAGAGGAAAATAAAGTGAGATAATATAAAAAAATATAATCGACGGGACATAAATCCTTTCATGATATTAGCATAATAGTATATAATAGTAAACTATTAAAAGAAATGGTAAAAAGTAAATACTTTCTGGAAAATTACAAATAAAAAATGTTTAATAATCTCATTTTAATTAATAGTAAAAAAGCATAATAAATATAGAAATAAAAGAACTCTTATATCACTGAGAATAAAGAACGTAAAAAGAAAATGACTATAAGTTGCCATGTAGTATATAGAATAACACTAGTTTGGCGGAATATCCAAGGTATAAAGATTATTGAAAAAAAGAATTATAACAATTTTCTCAATCCCATTCATCTTCATCGTCATTTGAAGTAGATTCTATTTCCACTTTAGGTTCTGGTGGTGGAATCATAGAAGAAATTCGAGATAGTGTTAAATCTGCATCTACAACAGTTTGTTGTTCTTGCTTTGCTCCGGAAATACCCTTTCTTCTCATGAACAATTTGTTGTGTAAGTCTGCTATTAAGTTTCCGCCCTAAAAATGTTTAAAATAGGTTACATATTTCTACTATATTATACATCTATATTTGTAAAAAAAAAGAAAAAAGAAAAAGTCCATCTCTAATTGGAGAGATTATTACGATTAATTAAAAAATTTCTCGAGCGATTGAGTGATCAGAAAGTGAGAAAGTGTAATTGCACATGAAGTGAGCCAAAAAGACTACTAGTCTAGGCGGGATCTGTTTTGGATTGGATCAAGCAAAAAAAATAGCTTCCATGGGAAGCTATTTTTTTGCTTGAATCCCTTCAGGATGTGCCCAATATCAATAATCACGATATGCGCCAGTCGCAAACCCTGTGCTAAATTTTTTATTTAACAAAATCTGAAAACAATTGAAAATTTCGCATTTTTTTAAAGAAGTTAAAAGAAGTGAAAAATTATAAGAAGTTAAAAGTTTCGTTATTCAATTCGTGATGACACCGCAGATGACATAGTTTTAATAGCCGATAATATCCATGAACTAAATGATATGTTACAACAATTAAATGCAGTTTCAGGAGCGGTAGGCTTAAAAATTAACTACAGTAAAACAAAAATACTGAGCATACAAAATCATACCATAGAAAATGTTGAACATTATGTATATCCATGTTATGTCATCAAACTAGGAAAACCAAATCAAGATGCTGAAATTAAAAGAACACAATTGGCAAATAACTTAAAGAAAAAGGTGTAAACCACATGCATACTTCCAGTTTGTACCTACGGCTTGAAGACAGTAGTCCTTACCAAAAAATCTGCAAAAAATTAGAAACAACGCAAAGAGAGCAAGGACGACAACAAGAAGCATGGGAAGACCTCAAAAAAGATGGGTAGATGACATAAGAGCAGTGGCAGGCAAACAGTGGATTAGATTGGCGCAAGATAGAGAAAGATGGAAGCAATTGGGAGAGACCTGCATTCAGGAGTGGATGGAAAATGGTTGACAAAGAGATAGCAGATACAATGAACTTTGTCACAAATTAATCTTGTATGTTTTTAAAGAGATAATTATCGGAAACTTACCTCTCAGTGTTACCTATACAAGGAGAAATGAATAAAGAAATATTTTTCAATCAATCCTACCTGAGCAAGTTTGGAAGCCGTCTTTTGTTCTTTATCATGCTGCACAGATTTCAGCTTAGCTCTTCCACTTCCGCCAGCATTTCTGATTGCCTCCATTAGGTTGGATCTAACATCATCCACGGCAGGCAAATTAGGCTTACTCACAGAAGGGACAACAGCTTCTGCTGTTTTTTTAGGTTCAGTGTTTACAACAATAGGTATCTTTGGTTTTTCAACTTCTACAGGAGTCGGAAGTTCAACGGGTGGTTCCTGTACAATAAAGAATAGTTATTAAAATAGTGTAGATAAAATATATATATATATATATATATATATATATATATATATATAGATATATATATATATATATATATATATATATATATATATATATATATATATATTGCCAAAATGGATTACGACGCGGTTCAACCCGGAAGACTGGTGAGTTTAATATTAATTTTAGTAATAATATTAATCTTAGCTCTAAGTTTTATTGTACTAACCGCGGAAATCTTTCCGAACATATATATATATATATATATATATATATATATATATATATATATATATATATATATATATATATATGGCCTAGAAGGACAAATTCATTAAACTTCCTGTACTCGAATCAATATCAATAAAGTGCTATGAATCATTTCGGCCTATCCCAGCATCATCAGACACTTGTGCTGATACAAATTAAAACTAACAATATTATATTACTTAACAGTAGTTAGCGTACAGAGGCGCCACCTGCTTAGGCGGCCATGAACTAGAACAGTATAATAATATCATTTTCTGTGTCCTCTGGGTTATGCGAAATGTGTAAAAGATTAAATCTTCTGCTATTGCTTTGTTGAATTAAATGGTCAAAAATATGGCCTAGGAGGACAAATTCGTTAAATGACCTGTGCTCAAATCGGTATTAATTCTTTATTTATACTCTAGTTATACTCAACGGCATACTCTAACGCCGTTATGAATAATTTCGGTGACAATGTGTCTCCTTGTCCTATTCCATGTTTTATTTTTATTGGTCGAGTTTTATCGTGTATCTTAACAGTCATAGTGGTATTTTTGTAAATATTGTACATAAGTTCACTATGCCTATGGTCAATCCTGCAATATAGTCAATTCTTTTTTATGAATTTCGCATTTCCCATTGGCTTCTACATAGAACTTTTAGCCTGTTATTTTCCTCTATAGTGTGTTAATATTATCAGTTTTATCTGAATCTCCTGATTGCCTTCAAAACAGTTTTATTCATTTTTCTTAAAGAGTGTGGCTTCTGCATTCTTATCGCTTCTTATTTGTCTTGTTTCATCCAACAGCGTTTCAGTATATGGACTTATTTTACTATCTGATTTTCTTTTAGGACAGTGCACTCTGTGACTTTCATGTTTCAGTGTTTATGATGCAATATTCATGTCGTTAGGATCATTCTCTGAGGTTTCATGCAGTAGTAGTTTATTATTGGTATGTGCCTGATATTGGTTGATATCTAATGGGGGTGTCCAGATACCATAAGATTTATTTTTACTCATTATGTACCTTTCTCATTTTATGTTGATTTGGACTTTCGCTCCTATCATTCTGTGGTCACTGCTTGTGGTGAACTTCTTAAGTACTGTTACATCTTTAATCATTTGTTTTTTGTCACTTATGATGTAGTTGATTTCGTTCCTTGTTCCACTGTTTGGATTTTCGCAGGTTCATCTTCTGTGCATCTTTTTGTCGAAGAAGCTCTTCATGTTGAATAAATTATTCTGGAGTAGAAATCCTAGTAGTGCTTCTCAGTCATTTCTTCCTAGGGAACCAAATTTTTCCAAGGAAGTTTCTAGCTCTGCTTCTTTTACACCTATTTTTGCGTTAAAATCACATAAAATTGTGAATTGAGTATGAGAGTCATTAAGCACAGTATTAATGCACTTATGAACATGGAAGATATATAATATTGGATTGTTACAGCATGCTATTTCAATTCTCTGGGTTTTTCTGGTTTTATTTTATTTTTATGGTATTAAAATAGTTACATGGGATTTAGTTTTTAAACTTACCTGAGGTATAGGACGTGGAGGTTCGTTTATTGAAATCTCTGTAAGTTCTTCAATGTCCTCACTTTCTTGAGGAATATTAGGCAAACTACTACTCGCATCAAAATCTAGCTCCAAAATGGAAGAAGGTATATCAGCTGAAGGAGCTATACTTGAATTTAGGTTATAGTCATACTGAAGATCATTTGCTATTCCTGGAAGATCTGGCAAATCTAAAGGTACATCCAAGGCTGGTACTTCCCCTATCTGAGGTGAATAAAAGTAATGCTGCTTCTGGGATTTTGATAATGTTGACCTTTCACTAATTGATTGGGGAGCTGCACCTATAATTAAATCTCTTCAAAGTTCGTATAGAACAGATGTGGCAAAACTTGTATCCTTTGTATTATCTATTACTTCTATTCTATCTATTACTTATTCTGTAAAATGTAATCCGTGGGTGAATATGAATATAGGAAAACAATTTTAGGATATTTAAAATTTTTCATATAGATATGTTAACAAGTTAATAGGAATTTGAATTAAAAAGTATTGTGGCAAATAAATAAGATAAGTACTTAGTAAGTATTTACTGTGATCAAGACATGTTCTTTGCAAAACATGAAACTGGAGTTTCTTAAACTGTTAGATATTATGAATTGTAAATTGTAGAGATAATACAATGCATTTGTTAATGTTTAAGTGTAAAATATATTTAAGGTTTTTTTTATTCCTTCTGTTAATAGGTAGCAAATTAATTATTAATTATTAAAAGTGTCAGTTGATTCAGTTTTATCGATATCTTGAGCCTATGGTATTTAATTATAATTTGGATATTATTTTGATTGAGAAAGTCAGTAATTTCACAGATTTAGGTGCGGTTCTTCAGAGAAATGTGTGCTTCAATCAGCATATAGATCTTATATGCAACAAGGCTATGAAACAGCTTGGTTTTATTAAGAGGCAAACCAGATATTTCCATAGGATTGCATGTCTAAAAACTTAAATTCAACTGTGATCTGGTTTCCCTTCACACAAGCATGTATCGAAAAGTTAGAGAGAGTTCAAAGAAGTTGTCTGTTGTAGTGTTCTTTTAAATTGTGTAGCCCATATTGTTATTCTGGTATGACCAATTTCTTGGATCTGGATTCTCTTCTTAACAGAATAGTTAACTTTGGTTTGGTCTTTATTTTTATTTATTTTTTTTATTTATTTATTTATATATGGCATCCATTTACTTACAATTTTTACAAAGTTACATCTTAAAAACAATAAATTATTAAAATAGCAAGCACAAGTTTTACAAAGTTACACCTTAACAACAATAAATTATTAAAATAACAAACACCTCAGAATAATACAAACATATAAGAATAATACGGATGTACAACAAACTTATTGTAAGATATTTTTTAGTTGTTTTTTAAACAAACTAATTTTGGAGTCAAAAATATCTATTTGTCTTGGCAGGCTATTAGCACTCCGGACCAATCGTGTAGTTGGTTTATTGATACCACAATTAGTGTGGTGAAATGGCACCGAAAAGATTTCTGATTGTCTGTTGCTTCTACTAGGAACTTTAAGACTAACAAGCGATAAGAGTTGAGGACAATCTATAAATGCATTGATAACTTTGTGTAAGAAACATAAATCTAACAATGTCCTCCTTGACTCAAGTGTTGGTAAGTTAAGACTATCTCTTACCCACTGATAGTTGTATTCCTCTATCCTGTATCCACTCTTATAGGCTGCTACCCTCAAAAATCTATTCGGGAGTCTTTCAATCTGTTGAATGTAACAGTGGTATGATGGGGACCATACAACTGATCCAAACTCCAGAATGGGCCTAACGAGACCACAATAAAGTCTTCTAAATGTAAACAAAGAGAGGTCCACAGATGTGCGTTGGATAAATCCCAGCACTTTCATCGCTCTGTTTGTTACTTGGTTAATGTGGCTTGAGAATGACAGTTTGGTGTCTAACCAGATTCCCAAATCTAATGTGTACTTCATTTTTCAAGGCTAATGGCAAGTTATTTATGTAGTAAACAAATGTAATTGGATTTTTTTGCCTCTAGAATGTCATTTTATGACATTTATTTATATTGAGTGTCATTTTGTTTAAAGTACACCAATCATAAAATGATTTAAGATCTTCCTGTAATATAACAGCATCATTCCAGGATTGAATTTTTCTAAACAGTTTTATATCGTCAGCAAACATAAGAACACTACAATTTTTGATTTGTTGTACTAAATCAACCAGAAACAAGCAAAACAAAACAGGGCCACAATGGGAGTCTTGTGGCACACCTGATGGAACTGTTATTTCAACTGAAGTGTCACTTCCCAAGTTAACTGCCTGCATACAGCCACTAACAAATTCTGTAATCCACTGAAGAAGGGGATCCAAAATACCCAAAGCTCTTAGTTTTTGTAAGAGTATCCAATGGTTTACCAGATCAAATGCTTTGGAAAAGTCAGTATAGATCAAGTCAACCTGGCATCCCTCTTCAAAGTTGTTATATATATGATTGACATACAAAACTAGGTTGGCACTGTTGACCTCCCTCTCATAAAGCCAAATTGTTCAGGATTAAAAATGCCTCTAAAACTCCATGTCAGTTTCTTACTAACCAGACAATCAAGCAACTTGGCTTAAAAAAACTCTTAAAAATCGGCTTTAAAAAACTTTTCTTCCAGAGACTGAGAAAGCTACCAGTACCAAGTGATCTGTTAAAAATAAACAAAATTGGTTTTGTAAGTACATGTACATTTTTTTTTTGAAAATAGGCTGGGATTCCATCCGGCCCTGCACATAATCGGTTTTTACAACTTGCAATAGTATCATAGACCTCAATTGCTGTAAGTATTATAGAACTAAAACAAATCGAACTGAAATTTATATTCTGCGAACATATTGGCAGAGTCCTTGATATAAGGCAACCCTATCATTATAGACCATTCTGGACGGTATAATATACCCATTTCTTTTGCTTTTAATATAAGACCAAAATGGTTATGGTTAAATGGTTAAACATTTTTAAGTCTGTTAATGAAATAATCCAATCTTCTGAATGGTTTCAGTTAATTTGTTTGTATATTCCTTCCTGTTCACTGCATCAGAATTCACTTTTCCATGTTCTTCATCGCAGAACTATTTATGGTTCAAATATAGGTATAGTCCTACTTCTCATACATGCTAATCAGTTAACTCATGAGAGAAATTTGTTTAACTTATGTATCAATAGCTTTAGGTAAAATGCAAAATGATACTTTGAATAAATAAGTGTACACTTACTTATTTATTATATTCATATATATTTTATTTCTTCTATAATTCTGCAGTCTATATACTTCTTTAATTCTGCAGTGTTGCATAATTTTGACAGTGAATTTGTGTCGTTTATTATCAAGAAATCAATGCATACAATCTCATACCTCAATAAATTCATAAATGATATTTATAGACATTACATACGAAGGTTATAGATTGACAAAGCTATTTTGCATGTTGTAGAATTATTAAGTTATTATAAATTAAATAATTTGACAATTATTAATGACTGATGACTCAGATTCTCTAGGTCTTATCTTAGTTATTTCCACATATTTTGTGGAATAGTCAATAAAACTACAAGAGAACATCTGTGAGGTACAAATATATTGATTTTTGTTCAAGGAATATCTTTCACATTTGGCTTTAACCCCCAAAATTTTTACTAAATGATCGACTGTGCATGACCATACATTGTAGGATTAGAGGAAACTTAAGTACTATAATTGAAGAATCATTCCAACAAAAAGATACTGAAGAGATCTTAGGATATGTTTAAATTATGTTTAAAATATTTTATATATTTTGACCACACTGCTGCATTATGTCTGATTTTTCACCTTATTGCTTTGGATAGTTCTATGAAGCTAATCAGTTTTTAAAACAACCTAATGTAATAGTCAATTTTTTAGAATATCCCAAACCCTAGATGTAGAACAGTACCAAACTTACCTATTTCTGAAACATATTCTTCATCTTCTTTCACAAATTTTGGTGTCTTTAGTGGGTGGATAATGTCAAAATCTTTGTATAAGTTCTTACCAGAGTTAAATAACAATAAATCATATCCAAACTTAATATTTTGATGTGTATTTCCTAGGCCTTCTAATTTTGTTTTGTTATTCTTTCGAATATTGACATGATAAAATTGTAACTTTTCTAATGGAGCTTGAGAATTAGGAACATTCCTTAACTTAACATAATGTCTTTTGAGGCATACATCAGGAGTATCATGAAATATTGAAATATACTCTTTATTAAGATCACTTGCAGGATACTTGCTACTAGAAAATACTTGGGTTGCTTTTTTGGCACCTCTTAGAGTATCTATTTTTTTATTAACTAAGTCCACCCTCTCGGATATATTTGTCAGCTTGGATCTATTCTTCTCTAAACGCTTATTTATCTGAGTAAATATTTCTTCACTAACTCTTGTTAGATGATCTAATACATCTGCTATTTGTATTATAGTCTCACGTTTGTATAGATTTTGTGAAATAATAGGAACACTATATTTTGAATCCATTTTATGATTTGTTTTTACAAACCATCGAGATCGAGTTATATTCTAAATTTTAACTGCATATTAAAATTAAAAACACTGTATTGACATTGACACAATTTAAGCCATAGTCACAGACCATATGATATTTGACAAACTGTCATGCTTTTGACTAAACATTTATTTGCTATTTTGTGGTTATAGTTAAATGTTTTCTTCCAATTTTGTGAGCAGCTGTCATTTATGTTTCATGTAGGTTGTTCATCCCAGACATAGTTGCCGTAGTGCATAACCTATATGGCATAACCACAGAATAATAAACAATCAGAATGCCCACTCTCCGTGGAAAATTAAGTACATACGCGCATCTCGTTCGCTCAGGCGTTCCGCCATGTTTTAAAGGGAACCAGTGTTGTTTAACGCAAATTTATGTGGTGTGCATAGAAACATTAACCCGGTTTAATTGACTTACGGCAATCATAGACATACTATACAATTATTTTAACAGTGTTAAATATAATAACATAAATATAATATAATTAAACATAAATATAAACAATGACGTATAATATATAGACTGAGCAGTCCCCTATTCTCGCTATATAATCGGGTGTCCGAAAGATCTTTGCTCAAGGTTGAACGTATGTTTACCAGAACAGCGGCGTGCTTATTTATATTTTAATGACAATACTTATTTTTTTAATTAAAATTAAATATTTATGATTTTTTTTGTTCCCGTCTATAAGAGAAAAAATTATTTTTATAAAATAGCATGCCATTTTACTAAAATAGTAAGTAAATATCTCTCAACAATTTAAAATAAAATTTGCCTGTCACATAAAATATGTAAACACACAAAATGGAGAAAATGTTTTCATACGTCCATGATGTTTTCAAACACAAGATCAACTTCGTGATGCTTCGTAAGAAATCATGACCTTCGTGCATCTTCGTATCAAAACAATAACAAAGGTATTCATGTTTTGGACACTTTTTAAAGCGTTCACCGAGTCTATATATTATACGTCATTGAATATAAACGATTACATAACCTCACAAATCATATGTCGATAAAGACCCATTACACCAACTGTGATTCTCAATCCGAGTCTGTGTTACCTTCTAAAACATGGCGCGCGTGCTGAAAAACTTCAAAGGCGGCATCTGAGAGTGGGCATTCTGATTGTGTATTATTCTGTGGCATAACTATAACAGTTATTGGTAGGGGTTATCAGCATTTTTTTGTTATAATTTAGTAGTTTTAGTAAAAATGGTTATTTTACAACTTCTTATTTATATAATTTTACTTATTTATTTTAATAAACTATTCAAATACTCAGTGGTGTACCCAGGGGGTAGTTTTGGAGGTTAAAACCCCCCAGGACGCTATTACGACACTGCCATTTACAAATTTTAAGGACTTAAAATGATCCGACACCCTGATAGAGTAAAAGGAAGAAAGGGAGAAAGAAAGAAGAAGGACTTAAAATGGTGGAGGTAGCATAGCATAAAACAATTTCGGTGCCCAACCAACCCCGCCCGTAAAATTTCAAGTAGTTCCAGTCGTTAAAGAGACATTTTAACGACTTTGAATTTTAAAGAAAAAGTGGTGTTAAAGAGAAGCCAGAGAGTAGGAGGAGGTTATCTACAAGAATCTCCCCGAAAAGGGGTGATTTTATCCGTTGGTAATTTGGTGACAGCCGTAGCTCAGTGGCTATGTTACTGGCTTAACAAGTTACAATAAGCTTACAGAAGTTACAACTTTAGAAACAAGATTAAGTGGGCTAATGAGCTTTTTACAGAGTGAAGTTCAAAATGAACAAGAAATTTATTTAGCAGCGGAAGGTTTTAGGTTTACCCACTAAAAATAAATATAAATTCACTAACCTCGTTGCCAAGAAAAATGTAAAATTACCTAAGCAAGGAACCGATCAGCCCTTAGCGACCGCTGCTGGGTTAGTAAATTATGAGGTTTACAGGTGTGTATTTTGTGAAGGGCAGCATGACAGTACACATTTTTGTGTCATAGAAATTTAATTTTGTATTATTTGGAACCAGGAGTCCCATGCGAAAATTAATCGTAGGACATTCCTAACTTAATAATAATGTCTCCACCTTCAAATTAATTGACGTGTTTTAGACTAAAACTGAGTTCAAAAGTTATTTATTTCAGCAAAATTATGAATATTACGTTTTTCTGTTAATAAACCCAAAAATAATTATAAAAATTAAAAATCTCCTACACCAAAAATTACGGGCCCTAGGGGCACGTGCCTAGGTTGCCTAGGCCTTAGTCCGCCCCTGCGAACAGTTAAAAAGAATGCATGTGGCGGAAATGTGAATCTTAAAGATGGATGAGTGAAGTAAAAAAATATATAAAATTAAAAATGGAACATGTTTTTAAAATAATAGCTAATAAAAACCTTGCTACAGACCATTAACTTTTCAGCATCTAGGTAAAAGAAAAATATAGCGAAGTTCTATTCTGTATGACAAAAAATAAACAATTTGTTGGTTTCATAACACTGTGTTGAAATTTTTTGTTGAGTTTTATTTTAATAACATTTAAATTGGTATATAAATAAAATAAAGCGTACTTGTATAATATTGTTATGGTTTTTAAGAAAGTTTCTCTTATGATCAAACCTAAATTCTACACTTATTTTTCACTCCATTTGTTTCTTTATAAGAACCGCGTAGGCAATTAATGTGTGGTGTATACTCTGATATCGGGCGAAAGTAAAAATTTACAAAACTTACATCCTATAAAAAAACCAAATAATGCGTTCGTTGAACTCTCTTTTACGTCAAACACATTTTGATACACCTATACCTACCTTTAGTTTATATTGTTTAGTTTAAGAGACCTTGGCCTAAAATTGGAAAGGAAAATCTTAGACAATAATTATGCCATTTCATTAAACACAAATTCAAATACAAAGTGTATGACTGCATAGTGCATAGTACATAGTATAATAGGAAATGAAATGCATTAAGGAGGTCTCCGACTACGTGCAGCAGAAGATAATATTGATAAACTCCAACGATAATAGGTTATTGTAAGCAATGTTGCCACATCGCACAACAATCTTTGAAACCATATCTAAAAAAATAATTTTTAATACATTATCAAACTTTATTGAATCATTCAGTTTTTAATAAATGTAATAATGCAAGGCCGTCAATTGGACGTCAGGCCACGAAGTTTACCCTATCCTCCGTGCTATCGCATACAGTCTGTAGTCAACATTCCTAAGTATGAGCGGGAACACAAAGTGTATCAATACTCATACTCTTATGAAACACACCTGGTGAATAATAATGTCCACATTTGTCTTGAGTAAAATGTCTTTTATCTTTTCTATCAGCCTCTCTTGGCTAACTCTTGTTTCTTCGGACCCCGAATGGCGATTAGGTTTCCGAAAGCAGACGGGTCACTATATTTCTTTCTACTACATACTCTTCCCTGACGGAGTATAGGCAGTACCTCAAAATTTCGCACAAAAGAAATGTCGTTGCCACCTCCAGGACCACTACCCCCTGAGCCTTGTCTGGAAGCTACACTCGGCAGCCCCGGCACCAGACTCCGGTGCGGAAAGCCAATAGCCTACCCATCTTAAATTTTATTTTATTACTGAAACTTTTGGTAGAAACTTCGGACGGATCAATTGTGACACGATTTGGTTGCTGGAATGTTAAAACTCTGTATGAGATTTCTAAACTAGCTCAAGCACTAAAATAATTAAATAGGCATAAATTAAGCTTTGTTTGCCTATCTGAAGTAAGATGGTTGGGCAATATTGAACACCATACCCAAACAGGAGAACTCCTATTATACAGCAGTAAACAAATTAGAAGTTACGAGAGCGGAGTGGGTCTTCTACTCAGCAAACAAGCCAAAAAAGCCTCATTCATGGAAACCCATTATTGATAGAATTATGACTGCCAGATTTTATACCAGATACCCCAAGATAACAGTGATTCAGTGCTATGCTCCCACGAACACATCTCCCCAAAGATAAGGATTTTTCTACGAACAACTAGAACAAACAACCCAGCAAGTAAACCAAGGCGATATACTAATGGTGATGGGCGATATGAACGCTAAAGTTGGAGAAGACAATAATAACTTAGAAATCCTAATGGACAAACATGGCCTGGGTGCGATGAATGAAAACGGAGAGCGCTTTACAAATTTTTGTTCCAATCATAGCTTAGTTATTGGGGGAATCATCTTCCCCCATAAAAATATCCACAAGTTTAGATGGACTGCACCAGGTCATATAAGAGAAAATCAAATATCGCAAGTGACCATCATCTCGTAATTGGTACGATTAAAATCAAAATGGCAAAAAACAAAATCACACGAAACATCAACAGATCAACATACAATCTAGACAAATTAAAAACGTCTCCAGGACGACACATGTTTAAGGGGGAACTACAACTCAACACAAGAAATCGTGAAGTAAATAGCTGGGAAGATTTGGCAGACGTTTTTGAAGATTAACTGGGTAGAAAAGAGAAACATAGAAAAGAATGGATGTCAGATCAAACTTGGAATCTTATCGAGGAAAGAAAATAGCAAAATAAAGATATTTTGCAAGCAAGAACTGTAAAAGAAAGAGCGAACCGACAACAAGAAAATGAAACAATAAATAAAGTAGTTAAAAGAAATGCAAGAAGAGACAAAAGACGGTGGGCTGAAGAACTGACAAAATAAAGCTGAAACAGCTGCACAACACAACAGAACTATACCAAATTACTAGACGACTAACAAAAAATGGGCCCAACTGTTCAAACATTGTAAGATCCAAGACAAGCGAATTACTTACTACAACAAATGACCAAGTAGAGAGATGGAAAGAGCATTTTCAGGAGATGCTAGGCAGGCCAGGGAAAACGCAGATGAAATTGTCGAAAACCCGCAGAAGGTAGACTTGCGTATATCTTGCGAGGCCTCTTCCAAAACGGAGATAATAACAGCTATCAAATCTCTTAGAAATAACAAGTCTTCGGTAATCGATAACATTGCTGCCGAAATACTTAAAACTGATCCGCATCTAACTGCTGAACTTTTGCTCCCCATAATCCGAGAGGTGTGGGCTGAAAAAGGGGCAACATTATTAAGCTTCCAAAAAAGGGCAACCTCACACTGTGCAAAAAATTGAAAGGAATAACCTTGCTTACCGCGATAAATAAAATCTTCACGACCATAATACTTAAAAGATTAACAAACAAGATTGAATTTCGAACTGGTCAAGCAGGCTTTAGAACAGAATCCTCCTGCATAGACCACACTTATACTATGAGGGTAATAAAAGAATAATCGGTTGAATGGAACACACTCCTATACATGCGTTTTGTTGATTTTGCGCGTACCTGAGACAGCTTATCTCATGCTGCTTTATGGAAAATTTTAGAGCTAAGAAACATCCCGCATAAAATAATTTCCATTATAAAGTCACTGTACACTGAGGCGAAATGCAGCGTGATACACAATGGAATCAACAGCGACGAATTTGACATACTTAAAGGAGTAAGACAGGGATCCGTGCTTTCTCCGTTTCTTTTTAACATTACAGTAGAGTATGTTCTCTCCAAACTAGACTCCGACACAAGAGGGATACAATGGACGTTAACCACACACCTAAGCGATCTGGAGTACGCCGACGATATCTGTCTGTTAGATTCCTGAAAGATTAGTTCATTTCATTCCTTCACTCAAAAATTCATTAGAAATAATACAGTTACTCATTTCTTCTTGTTTCTTATAGGTCTACTTGCTATTAGTCTACTTGCCATTGCTCTACTGATTAGTCCTTCTAGTATGATATAAAATAGCGCCGTTGATAGACGGCACGTCAGTCTCCTTGTCTTAGGCCACGTTCTATATTGATGTCATTTTCATCTCCTTCAGTTGTTTTAACTCTTGCTTCCTTGAGTCCTTCATTGTCAATCTAGTCAGTCTTGTTAACTTTACACTAGAATTTCCATCCTTTTCATTTCTTTTAATAACTGTTGTCTGTATATTCTGTAGAAGGCATGTTGGAAGTCGATGAACAATATATGTCATGTTTGCAGCTTTTTTCGATGGTTTGCATGGTATTGCATCTATTGTTGATCTTTCTTTTCTACATCCCTGTTGATAATGTCCTAGATTTATTCGATTTCTTATGATTATTGTCAGGATCTTATACGCAGTGTTTAGTAACATAATAGCTCTATAGTTGTTACACTCAGTTGGATACCCCTTCTTAAAAATTGGTGTGATTTGTCCATTTTTCTATTCTACAGGCAAATTTTCGCCCTTCCAAATTTTGACCCTTAGTTTGTACATCTATTTTATCGTTGGTAATTTCATCTGGCCCTGGACTTTTATTTAGTTTAAGTTGCTTTACGACATGTATGAATTCTAGATAGGTAGGTGCATCTTCCTCTGCATGTCTATTATCTCTTATTTCTTCATCTTCTGCATATGTCTCTTGGCTCGTTTTGTATAGATTCGTAAAATGGTTTTCCCAATCTTTTTTGTCTATTTTTACGTTGTTTTTTGGTACTATATTGTTATTTCTAACTGTTTCTTTCTTCTTTCTTCTTCATGGCTTCTTGTTTTTCTGTTCAGTATTGTTCTAGTTGTTCCTGCCTTTCTCCATTCTCTAACCATTTATTTTTCGCGAGGTTTTTAATTTGACTTGTTTTGTGACATTCTTCATCAAACTATGCTTTCGATTTTTTGTTCTGTAGGTATAATATTATACCGTTTTTATGTTTTTCCATTATTTTTCTATATCTTTATTGTTGTATCTTCTAAGTTTTTGTCCTGTTTCTTCTCTATACTGTTGTTTTGTTTCTTGTGTTTTTGCGTTTATTATTATATATAATTTAATTTAGCATAAAAAATATATTGATTTGTTCGTATTCGATGTCTTAAAAAATAATAGAAAAAAGCATTTATATCCCTTATTTGGTATTTCTGTTCCTCTTATCACTTTTTAAAATTTAGTTTGTCATAGATATAAGGAATCCAAAAATGAAACTTGGCAACAGTGTATATGTGGTACGTAGAATGTCAAAATTAAATGGATATCCAAGTGAATTCAGCTTTTCAAATGGAGGGGTGTTGCATTTGAAATCGTGCGTGCGCAAGGTGTACGCTGCTTGAGCAGCGATGGCGTGTTTTGTTATGTGAGCTCTAAAAACTTTCGTAAAATCTGTGTGTAAAGTGTTATGTATGTAGTAGATTTATCAGTGCAAATGGTGAAAATTTTAAGTGAAGATTTTTCGGTTAGCTAACATCACGTATTTTGGGATAATGGAGTTAAAACTGCATTCTCCCGCTGGGGCTGAACCCGTATTATATACTTGGCCGTTAACCTCTGGTCGTGGAAACGTAAGTAAATTATTGTTACTGGTATATTTTATCAAAATTCTACCTCACAGAAGGTTCAATCCACTTAAAATGCCTAAATATTTGTTACGCTTTATTTGTTGTTGAAAGTTAAAGTAAATGTTTTACAACGGTACTTTTAGATTGTATTTATTTTAACTATATAAATTGCGCGGAGCCGCAGCCGTTAGTCTGTCTATTTTCTATTATAAACCTCGTTGTCCTAATTAAAATATTGTTTGCTAAGTGGGAGGTTGATAGTATACATCGCAGATATAATTTTAAGTCTCACTTAAAACTCAAAATAACCCATTTACTCTTTTATTTATTCTATAAAAAAGTATTTTAAAAATACCTCATAACGTGGGAGATTATATATTTCCTGCAACATTGGTATAAATATTTATAAATTTGTCCTTGAAGTAGATATTTTGAAATCATGTGGTCAGATTTTCCTTTATTCACACACCTCAGTCATCAAATGTGTTTATTTAAATATGTTCTTTTGTGAGACAATCTTCAAAACCTTTATTTTTAACTAGAATGTTATCTATAGTTTATCCACTTTTAGTTTTAAACAGGCAAAAATGACTATAACTAAAAAAATGTATACGTTCAATCAGGGTAATTGGAAACACTATTTGAAATTTCATGATGTCTAAGCATTTGAAATTTATTTAAAAATATACTGTTTCACATTTTAATAAAATAAAATCTTTTGGTTATTATAGGAAAAGTTATGGTAGAATGTCTTAAAAACTGGTAAGAAAAAATCACAAAAAAGAAGGTATCCAATGTGTCTATTTACCCCACAAATTTTAAGAAAAAAACTAAAAAGGGGGGTAAATGTAAACGATCTCTGGTTCTGTTAAACATAATCTAAACGAAACTGGAGTAAAATAATACATGGTTTGTTACCTAAAAATCGTGCAAGTTGGTTCTTAAACACCTCAATGTTTCCAATTACCCCCGAATATATAAAATGTGCTAAGGAAACTTAAAAAAAGATTATTATCAAAATAAAATACATAGGTATAACAAATGAATTTTTAAAATTATAAATATTCACTTATTCACTGACTTTCAAAAATATCTAACTTATTAGGAAACTTGTAAAACATTCTTTCACCTTTCATAAAAATATTTGGCTCAAGGGCTATACCAATAATTTGTTTGAAGTTAACGAAACTAATGTCAGTTTCCTGTATGGCAAATTGCTTGTAGGGACCATTCATACATTTTAGAGCTATAATCTTAATTTCATTTTCATCCCAATCAATATCTTCTATCATACACAGATATCTGTATGATGTTGTCAGCCTTTTACCGCCTTTGAATTCTACTAATACAAATTCCCCTGCTGGAGTTTGTGGTGTTCTGCAGCCTCTAGTTCTGGTAGCTCTTGTACTGGTTCATCTCATGGACTGTCATCACACTCAGCATAAGATACTTCTGTTTCACTTGCAACAGATGACCGCAATGGCTCTTTACAATACTTTGTATTTGTATTTTTACTTGGTACTGGAGTTTCAAGCGAATCAGCAATTTTTCGAACCTTATTTCTTTTTCCATTTTCTTTCTGCTTTTCTTCTTCCTGTTCCTTCATTCTGTTCAAAACGTCACTACCAGTTAATACTTCTCTATAGGCGAACTGTTTTAGCTGAGGGATTATCTTTTTCTCTGTGGGAGCAATTTCTTAAACTGTGTCAGAGTCAAGTTTTCTTGTTGACTCCACATGAAATATACGGTCCAGTTTGTCTTTGGTTGGAGAAATAAAACTAGACATATCTAATTCTGTAATTTATGTTGTAGATTTAGCTACAGATGTTTTGTATTTGGATGATGATGATTCAGCTTCATTTATTAATGTCTTGTTAATAAATCCACTAGTATTTCCCTTATTCCCATCTAAAGTATTTTTAATAGAAGTCTGGGAGGAGAGTATTTTTTCTTTATAAAACTGAAGCTGCTCTGAATTAAATTCCGATTCAGGAAATTTTTGACTATTTACAGGATACACACCACTTGCACAAAATGAGGATTCATGTGGCCTGTAAACAACTGAATGTCATTTCACAGAATAAGCAAAGATGGAATTGCAATTCTGTGTATGTGACATTGTTGTCATATTTTATTTCTAGCCATCCGGAGAACTGTTTCTAATCACCCCTGTTTCCAATTACCTGTCCTTAGGGTCAATACTGACCCTATTGTCCTTGTGCCCTAAAAATGTAGTTTTTTCCTTAAATTAAAGGTGAATGTGTTATTTTCTTACATCTTTGTCTTTTTAATTAGATATCATGAAATCAGTATATTTTTAGTAATTTCAAATACAATAGGAGAAAAAAGACCTCGGATGACATTAAAGTTTATGGTTGAAAAAGTAATGTAGATACAGCAAAATGTAGCTGTTTAAATATATATGTTCAAAATGCACATTTCCTTTTTCCAAAAATTGGACTAATTAATTATATTCAATAGTATTTGTGATAAGTTTGAGAATGCTTCTATAAAAAGAAAAGTCTATGTGATGTGTATAATTGATAAAAACTACAAATGCAGGAATACCAGGTACTAGTTATCAGCCTACAAGATAACTTCAGTGGCTGGGACTTCCAAAGTACAGCAATAGCATTAAAAATCGCAGAAGGAAAAATAAAAATATGTATACCAAGAAAAAAATGCTGGGAAGTGGCTATGCAAGATGTTAAAAACAGAAAAATAGAAAAAAACCAACCTGTATGGCTTGAAATTAACCTATATCTATCTATATTTTCAATGAAAGAAACTAATATCACATTGTGGAAACTAATATGATATTTTAATTGTGGAAAATGCTTTAAAGACAATAAAATTCTTCTGTATCCAACCTTTCTTAACTATTTTTCTGTTTTATATATAAAAAATTACAATTTGTTTTCCAGGCAATAACTGTTCAACCAAAACTTGCTCACTTGATAACCAGCAACCTTGTTATATAGTTCTTTCCCCATCTATCATCATGTCCCAAAATTAACAGTCACACACACATTTGGAAGGTTACTGTTCACATTCCCAATATCTTTATCCATGGTATCATTTAATCTAACAGTAAATTAGGCACTAATAACATAACCAGCAAATATTGTACCCACTAAGTTTCCTCATCTGTTTTCAGCATTTCTCAAGATTAACAATGCCATATACAGTTTCAATCCCCCTTAACTGCCTTAACTGCCTGATGTTCATATTTCCAATAGCATTAAACTATCTTCTCTAAATATTTGAATGTCCAATTTTAATAAAGGGGTAAATCCTTTTTGCTTGATACTGCATAAACTATTAGGATTTAGTTTTGATTATCCACATATTTTCATGAAATTATTGACAAAGATTAAAAGAAATTAAGAGCCTTTTATGAAAAAATAAAAACTTTAAAGAAAAAATGTCTGTTCTTGAATCATTTTGGTCACTACTTTTATCTAAAGTTAATAAAAAAATTCATTTTCATTTTAAAGAATTGTTCTTTTACATTTTTTACTTGTTCTGTATTATTAGTAATAAATCTTGGAGGATGTATATAGATATTAACCTTTTCTGGATCTAAACAACTTAATATTTTCATATCACTCCAATGATTATTTTTATAAAAGTGCTGTTTTGTATGTTACCTCAGACCCAGTACAAATTCTGGAGCACAAAACCTTTAAACTAATTGTTTTCATGACACTAGTTCCAATCATATACTAATTATAATACCAATCCACACTGTACTGTAAAACTTGTTCACCTTACAATTAATAAAAACTGGTTAATAAGTATTTAATATCCAAAATCATCAATTGTGTTTTTATATAAATGTAAATACTTATTACTGTTAGGTGTTTAAAAATTTCAATTTGAATTTATTGAAGTTATTTCTACATTTTCAACTAAATGTAATTTGGTTTGATAACAAAATTTGTTATTTTAACAAAATTTTGATAACACATGATTCTGAAATGACCCTGGAACCTTGTATTTATGTATTGAATAGATAAGGCTTACTCAACTCCTATAAATATTTGTTTATTTCAAGTAGTTACTTACATTATTGATTGAGATTGAGTGTTGTATTACCTGTAAGGTTATCTCCCTGTAAATTTGATAATTCCTAATTATTGTTCTTATTAAAAGCCAGTACTATTACTTTTTTCCTTACTTGGAAAGGTATATTGGTTGCTCTTTTGTGTTTTTTGGCATATTATGTATATTGAGTAATTCATTTTTATTTATGATATTTAATTTTACAAGTAGTATCTACTTAATTGTCATAATACTATTTAAAAAATATTGTTTGCTTTCTACTTTATCCATAAAAAATCTGATAGTACTACATAAAAGGATTAACACCTGATTTGTATCTCTCTTTCCTTTTTGTTTAATTTTGTTTCATCCCAATATGTAAGTTTTTAAATTTTTTACACTTCATTGTGATAAATAAATAGCTATTTTATCCTCCAACTAGAAACTTTTCAAGGTTACTTCAAACAATGTGATTATATAACAAAAACTGTTGCATTTGACTTGCTAACTGCAAAATTAACAGAATGGGAAGTATGTAGTTAAAAATAGATATGGTTGCTCTTAAGGCCAATGAAAAACAGAATATACTCTTTAAAACAATAAAAGTGTAGCTGGCAATTAGCTGTTTAATTCTTGACTTGAAATGAAATAATAATTTCAGAGATATAAATGTTAGGAAAATCAGAGAAAAGACACAATAATACCAATGAAAAACTCAACAAAAACTGAATAAAATTTTATGCAGATCCACCTAGTTCTCATCTTTATTGCAAAAAAACAAACTGATGAACTTAATAGTCTCATCCTGTTTGAAATGTGTGTAAAAGATGGGGCAGATCTGAATATTTTCGGCAAAATTGAATTTTGTTTATAAGATTTTTTGAAAAACTAGCTAATTTCTAAGGCCTGTCCAGATAATTTGACTGAATGAATCTCAATAATCCAGAGCTTATTTTCAT